AGAAACCGAAAGAAAGCGAGTCGCGATTCAAAGCAAACTATTGCCGTCGCCGCTCTCGCTTCATATTCCGCAGAAATGCTCCTCTTCTTTGTAACCTTCGCTTTTCTTGTAGATTTATCCTGGGCTCTTCCAACGGGTAAGTCTTTGATCCTGTTATAGCATCTTCATTCCTAACCAGGAATTGATGTTCTGTTGCTCATATTTTCCTCCATTATGATCTGTTGTTTTAATTATTGTCAAGCAATAAAGCCCTCTTTTGTGTGGTGGTTGTTGTAGACGTTATTATTCAATTCGAGCGCAGTGTTTTGGTAAACGGGACAGTCGTGGAGAGGATCCTTGTCAATGATGCACATTTAAAGGGCCAGTTCGACAAGCAACCTGTTGTCAGACCCATTCAAGATGAAGTCCTTAAGATGATGGTGGAGAATGATCATCATGTTACAGCAAGTAAAGTATTTTAATGCAATTCATGTAGATCAGGATTAGAGACGGATCAGTACAATTTTTAACGATACTGATTTTTTTTAAATGTGTTTAACCACTATTCAGAACCTATTTTTAATTGTTGTATTTCAGCTTAAAAAAAGATCATCACTAGATTATAGCAATAAACAGTACAACAACACCAATAAAAGCTTAAAGTACATTATGAATATAAAATAATAGTTATGACATTGTCAGCATTAAACTAATAATTATTGAATCATTTTGTTTATTGAAATGTGGCTTCAGTCTTTTTTTTTGTGCAGTTTTTGCATTAATTGGCATACTCAAGCTCAAATATTATATTAACAATATTATTAATTATGCCTTTTATTCTGTTCTATTTATGCAAAGTTGGTTTATATATATATATGTACTTTCTGTTTCGGGTGACTGTCAAGTTTAAAATGCACTGTTACTGTTACTTTAAATATAATGTTTGGGCTTGAGTATGCAAATTTATGCAAACAATACATTAAATGAATTGCTGTACTTTACCGTTGAGCATACAGTGGTATAATGCTGTTGTTGGATGCTAATCTTTAGAGACCCACCAAGTGGTGCCATTTATTGGATTGAGTAAGAATATGTGAATTTTGATAATAAATACTGGTTTGTCACGTATTGTCATGCAGTCACTCGGTGACAATAAATCCATCTTTATTTTTCAGGTTATGGCACATATATACGTTTGAGGGAATGTAAGCTGCGAGGATATCGAGTCCTGCAGCTGTCCGACCGGTTTCAGCTCAATGGCAAAGATTATCTGACTTTAGATTCAGACACTGATTCGTGGACAGTGTTGATGCCAGAGGCACAGGATCTAAAGCAGTCATGGACACTTAAGGCCGAGCAAGCGAGTCTAGAGAAAATTCACCTGAAAGAAGAGTGTGAGGAATTCATTAAACGGAGGAATGACACCCAGAATCAAGAAGGTGAAGACTTATGATGATTATTTGTTAGAATAATTTAAATACATGAAAGTCCCACTGATTACAAAATGTTGCTTGACTATAAAAACAGTTGTTATTGCCATACGAAGCACACTAACATTCCATTTTTCATTTTTACACTAAACTTTTGTGGGTATCTGCTTTGAACATTTTATGAATACTATAATATAATATAATAAAATATTATAATAAATAT